AAGGGCCATCATCTTAAGAGAATGAGTTTTTTCATGTAGCTACACAGGTGAAATAGTTTATTTCTGCCACATTCTTTGCTCGTCAAACATTACCGCAGTCCCATCGTCACAGATTATCTAGCACTGGAACCCTATTCCCAGACCTATTGACGCTGTCGAGCGACTTGTTGCACACACTTTTAAGTAGAAAGATATAAATCAACTAGACTCTTTTAATGCCTCTCGGTTGCCGTGAGCTCAATATTAACTAAATACCTGCTAGAAATTTTGGTCAATTTTCGATTACCTGACTTGCTAATAAATAGATCTTTGAGATCCTCAGCTATCATCTTAAATATTTAAGGACCAACGTCCGAAACAGTTCCATAGTATTTTCTTATGAAAATCACAGGCATACATCGTGCAGTAGTGGGATGAAGTACTGATTAGCTTCAGTTTGTCAAATGATTTGTCTTGTCCCACTAATTCGCATTCTTGAGTGGAGAGAAAGGAATCATCGACAGGAATTTTGTCCGCTACACGTGCAAAACACCATTCAAATATTTCAAGGAATTCAATAGTAGACTTATTGTTTTGCTAGATTGAGAATTGTTTATTTAACTTTCTTTGTAAAGATGTAACTCAGAAAGGCACATTTTTACAGGAAAAGGGTGTGAAATACGCAAATTATTGTCTGAAAAAAGGAAGATTTCTCTAGCTGTTGCCACTGTCATCTTGTCCTACATTCCACAAAGCCTGCTTTATGGGCAGAATCAGAATATAGCTTCCAGAAACAAAGTTTCAAAAGTCAATTACGGAAGAAAGTACTCAAATTATCCAGAGATTATTAATTTTTTTCTATTTTCCCAGTAGGTAGCAGCTACGTAAACGAGGAGAGGAGTAGCACGTGTTACAAATTAATAATAAACTCGATTGGTAGACAAAGATTTGCTTTCCTTAGGAATACTAAGATAACTTAAAACAAATGGATGGCAGAAACAGGAAGATGGTTGCTTCTCCTTGTTGATTAATTTTTGTTTTATTTTTTTATTCTTTATTTCCTGACAGCTGGGACATCCACTCCTCCTGATCAGCTTAACTTAGAACAATTGGAAATTACCTTAACGCTAAATCGGGCTGACATTGCAAGAGAAAAGATTTTTCTGGAAAATAAACGATGGAAGGTCAGTCTATTCC